TTCCTGAATGACTGTTTGACTTTATCTTTGCGGCTGCCATTTTGTATATCCAAGATCAAATGTCTGTCTCTAATGTCAAAGCTATTGAAAAAGAATGAACAAATTAAGAGAACCAGGGCACAATTTAAAATTATCCTATCTTACGAAGGTCATCCCCTACTTTTAGTGGACTTAAAAGTTAATTTAGTGGAAGATTAGTGATGCCTCAGTGTTCTACAAAGCGATTTAGAAGGTATTTTATTCATACTGCAGTTATGTTTTTTAATGAAGTTGTGTAATTCCTTGCATGGATTGATTGTGTTGTTGTTTTTAATGTTTAATTGTCTATTTGTGTTGTTTGTAATGTGCAATGGTGGCAAAAGAGTTTCCCCTTATGGGGATTAATAAAGTTTTCTAATCTAGTCTAATCTGATTTTACATTCTTAAAAATATATATTTTTTCAATTGGGTTCAGTAAGGACCTCTCTTATCAAGATCATTTTTGCTGTATCTTGACTTGCCTGCCCTATATGGTTATTGAAAATTAATTGCTTGATGTTTTATTACAGGTTCTTCAGGAAAGTGTTCTGAACCAGTATATAAGCCTTTGTAAAGAGCTAGAGAATTCAATAGTCTTCTTACTGAAACCGTAAATAAATTGACATTAAACTTTTTGAACATAATAACATACAATTTATGTTTTCACAAAAAACAAAATCATATTAATAATTTGAATTATGCAGTTTATTTAAAACAGTAAACATTCAACAATAGACGTTTACAAATAAATGACTCAAACTTTATTCATAAAGAGTCTCATTGAGTCAGTCAGCGAAACTTCTCTTGTTGTTCAGAATCATTTTCTTCTGTCATGAGTCTCTGAATCACTGTCCAGTATCCTCTCTGTCCTGTCTCCGGGAATGACTCATTAAATGCGTATTATGCAGTGGCAATGCATGGAAACAGGTCTGTCTTGTCTAAATATCAGTGTCTCTTATACAAAGCTTTGTCTCAGTGTATGGTAAAGGGCTGAGTTCTCTATTCAAATCAACACGCGCTAACACGCCCTGCATCAGCCACGTCACAATACACCTGTTTGTCCTGTATACCGCATGCAAACGTCATCCCACATTAAAAACATAAGCGTTTTATTCTTCTCCAAGTTTCTCTATTAATTAAATCGCTTACATGTAATAATTTAAGGATTAATAAAACGCCAGGACGACACACAAGACACGCTGTCCTCCAATATGCATGCACATCAAATCAAAACACGTGAAATACTTGATGTAGGCTAATTAAATACGTCTCTCTTTTTTTTACTTATTCGTGCTTTGGTTGGACAATTATAGCCTATATAGCCTAGTAAAAAATATTTTAAACCTGCTTAAATGTAAAACACTTACCTGAACCATGGTATTTTTTCCTCTCAGTCCTTACGAGAACTTTTTAATCAGCGGGGAGTGACACCAACTGTACACCTTACACTTCTGTGTGCCTCTCTGCTTGAATAGTGGAGAAGTGCATACTGGGATACGTAGTACCAAACATTCAAACGTCGTGTATTGAACGTCATTCGCAGACTCCACCACCCACAAGCCTCCACTTTATGTACACACACAGAGCATTGCAACACCTGAAACTCCATGGAAAAAAGAGGTTTCGGTATGCAAATTCATGAGAGGAAAAAATGTGCCTCTGTTTGAAAATAAATCAAACTATAGCAGCAGCACTTCAAATGCAAATATTTTAATTTATTAGTAATAGTCTTAACAAAGCAAACACAAAGATTGTTTTCCATAAATTTCCTAAATTTGCTTCTGTAAGTAGGCCTAGGTCTTATAAATTCACCAAATAAGATTATGGTTTAAAATAAACAACTTTTTATTTCAATAAACTTAAAATTTTAAGACAACCAGGTTAAAACTACAGTTTTCCTCTCTGGCTATTCACTAATAAAATTGAGAGGTAGTTTTTTTTTTTTTTTTTTTTTTTTTTTATAGTTAAAACTTTTTTCAAATGTCATGTTGAAAGTGCAGTTTATCCAAAAAATTGTGTTCTCAAACATCAAGTTTTTAGCCATAATAATATCTCATTAATAAGGAGTACTGTAATATAAAAATCATATTCAGCAGGTGTGCTATTGACTCATTAACTAAAGGAATAGTTCACTTAAAAATGAAAATTCTGTCATTTTTTTACTCACCCTCAAGTTGTTTCAAACCTGTATGAATGTCTTTCTTCTGCTGAACACAAAATAAGATATTTTGAAGAATGTCGGTAACCAAACAGTTGATGGATCCCCATTGACTTCCATAGTATTTGTCCATAGTACATAGTCAATGGGTGAGTATACTAGCCTACTTGAGGGTGAGTAAATGATGACAGAATTTTCATTTTTAAGTGAACTATTCCTTTAAATGTCAGTGACCACCCTCTAGTGGTTAACTTTAGCTAGTTCAGATATGAATGCATTGTAACCATTTCGTAGTTGATCTAACAATGCTTTTTAAAGCATGAATTAGGTTAATGTTAATTTAAACGTTTTATTGTAATTAATGTTAAGTGTTAATTCATGTTCGTTCATAAGACAAATGCATTAAAAAAATTTTATAGAAATTAACCTATTAATAAATACATTTCAGTTCATTATTTTAAAAAAATGTATTTCAACAAATTTAATCTAAATCAAACATTTGCATTTTATTTCGACCCATCCCAAAAAGTTCACTTGCATGATATTTTTAGCGTTTGACAGTATACGCTAAACAGCTTTATCATTCTTCCATCCTGATGAAAATCATTGTTATGATTATTTGCATATCCTGTTGAACACTGCTTTCAAAAAGACTTATTGCAAAACTATCACATATTTTTTACAGTCTATGATATTAACACAACTTGGAAAGAGTGCATGACACATGTATTCCATGAAAATAAGATAAAAGACAAAATATAAAAAAATCACATGCTTCCAGGCAACCAAAGATCTTTACATTGATAATGCAATCCTAATGCTCAAAATTAACATCTGTGGCAACTGAGTTCATACCAAGGAGTTCAGAGCTTCAGGTGAGATGAGCCGGAATGTCCTAAGAAAGAATGTCTTTACATCTTGAGCACTTGCTAATGTTGATCAAAAACAGACATCGTTATACGACAAAAACGGTCAAAGGTGTCATTGTGTTGCTTGCTTAAAGTGGGAATCCAAGTTTAATTTATTCTGCAGTATATATTTACTGCCACTTGAAACAAAAATAAATCTCTGAACAAAATTTTCATTACTATTTTTTTCTGTGAGCAATATCTGAATGTAAAGTATAAGGACAAAGGTAAAAACTCTTTCCATAACATTCATGTGTAACCCTGCATAGAAGTCAACTTCCCTCACTGTGAAAAACGTTTGTGTTCAATGAGAAACCTGCTGTACAGGTGTCATGCATATTTTAAAGGGAGGAATTTTCCCCAGAGCGTTTGGTCTTGTGTGTTCACTAATAATCTTGAGAAGATCACCAAACCAGTATGCTGACTTGCCATCAGAGGAGACAAATATTCAAATTATTTCTTAGATAATGTACTAAAGTTCAGTAGTTCAACCAAGTTTATTCATAAAACCACTGTTATATAAATATGACTGGTTTGCATGCAGCGCCAAAATATGGACTGAGTCATGCTAAGACTGGGTTGACATGTTTTTGTTAATGTGTTAGAGGTCGAGCTCTAAAAGCAACTCTCTGACAAGATCTAAGATATTGTCTAAGCAGTAAGAACAACAAGATGTTTGTTCTCAGAAACGTTGTTAATGTGATAAGTCACACATTTTATGTGCGAATTATGGTAAAGGCTGATGTACTTCATTCAAAACCTATAGGCGATTGGAAAAACAATTGGATTTTTGTTAAAATCTTGTGGTGAAATGTAAGGTCAAGTTTGTCTATGTCATATTACTACAAAAATATTTATCTCCTATTTTATTTGATTGACAAAGACAAATTTTGATTTGATTGCATATTTGGGGGGGGGGGGGGGGGGGGGTTTAGACCTTCTCAAAAATCTGAGTTTTTTTCAGATTTCTCACACACACATCTACATCCACTCCGCTCAATTCAGTCAAGCTCAGTCCTTCAATCATTTTGACTTGGTGTGCTATAGCCTATATTTTGATCAGTTTTTGAGTAGCCTATTGCAGATTATCAAACATCCTAAAACACAATACAAACAATACAAGTATATAGCTAATACTGGTAGGCTACTGCATAGTTCAGCATTTGGATCAGAATGTTGATGATAGCCTAATGTTGATGACAAACAGACACACCTGCCTGCCATTCATTATTATTAATTATAGCCTAGCCTACTACTAAACTTTATTTAAAGGCCAAGGCTTAGTAAATACAACATGAATTTTGTGCAAACGAACTTTTCCCCAATTACACCAATGAAGTGTGACATTGCATCAAAAAGAATTGCAAGTATTATGACAGTGTACGAACAGGTTTGACGACCTCTCCCCTCCTTTACCATTGGTCGATCAAGCAGCAAATCCCGCCCCCAGACCCACGCCATTGGTTGCTCTGGTGGGGATGCTCAACGTCAGAGCGTTTACATGTTCTCTGTTATTAATTATCCTACAAATGTCTTGTCTGTAGAGCTTATAAAGAGCATATAGGCCTACAATTTGGATAGGAAAAGTAATTCGTCGAAAAAAACTCTTTTTATGAACACTGATGAACGCGCACCATAGCAGAAATCATTGATGGCAACTGAAAAATAGCCAACAACAACAACAACAAAAAACAGGGTTTTCTGCACTCCCATCTTTAAATCTTATGAGGAACAAAGTTCGTACCTTTTTATCAGTTCTTAATTTTGTCATGTAACCTCATATAACCCAGATTTGTCCGCTATAAGGGCAAAAGTCAGTTTTTCCTTTGCACGCCCACATTTTTCGTCAGGACGAGGCGTGTCCAGGTAGCACGACGCGCTATAAAACATCATGTCACAGGGAGTCTTCTTTACCTTCATATTGTATGTCCACTTGGAGCATTTGCGATCACCACATGGGGTAAGCAAAAAATAAAATTATATAGCCTATTAAATGCTTGTTTGCGTAGTGTAGGTAGGTTACTTAGTCTGTGCTTTCTGGTAAATATTACAAACCATAAAAATATTATATTTTCTATATATAAATGTGAATATGGGTGACAGTTAACGTTTTGAAATTAAAATGATTTTTTTGTAGTTTAAAAAAAATGTAGGCTATTTTATTTTATGCGTTTCCGATCATGTCATATTTTAATTGTACTACACTTCCGTTTATAACTGGTATGGAGGCAGGATGAATGATAACTTATTTATTAACACCAACATGCTAGATAATAACAGTAAAGAAAAAGTCGTTTTATGAGTAGGCTAGTATTTTAGGTCCTGTAGCCTGTTTATAAGAATATATGAGTGCAATAACATAATTTTCCTGTAATAAATCTGTTATTTGCACCATTACCATTTTTTTCATCCTCTCTTCGCATTGAATAAAATACATTATTACATTTTTGAAAGTAGGTTCTTCAGTTTGTTTTTTGCTATAGGCTATATATACGCTTCTTATGTTGCCTTTAAAATTCTTTGCACTCTCAGAAAAAAGGTTTCAATGGGGTTCTATATAGAACCACAGGGTTCTTGAGTCAATTTTAAAGAACACTTTATGCCAAAAAGGTTCTAGATAATTAGAAATGTCTTAAATGATTACAGTGTTTAACTAAACAAAATTAATTAATAAAAACTAAATACATAAAATGAAAATTTAAAAATGATTTTGAGGTTCTTAAAGGACCAGTACAATGATTGTTTTCTAAAAAAAAAAATATATATATATATATATATATTTTTTTTTTAAAAGGTTTTCCTGTGACTCCAGGATTAAACCCCTTTGATTGTAATTGTAAACTTTATTTTTTAAATGTGTACCTCCTTATGAACCTGACTGTTCTCTCTATCTAGGAACACAAACACTGTGCTATCACAATGAAAGAAGAGCCAAGCGGTCAATCGACAGACCCTCCACCTTACTTGCATGGTGTGTTCTCTATTCACTTCACATTTTATATTTACATTAATTCATTTGGCAAACACTTTTCCAAAAGCGACTGACAATTGTGAAAACCTCACTTGTTGTGAGAGCCAATGATATTTGAAGTAAGCAATGGCAGTACTAATTTTATATCTACATAGATAGTCTAATTTGTAAAGTGCTGGATCATTTAGAATGAATTATTTAGATTCTGCAGACACCTTAGACTTGCCCCGCCTGTTCCTTAAGTAAACATAAACCCCTTTTCCTGCAGAGGTGATACCTGAGGGTTTCGTCAACCTAGCTTACACCCAGGATGAGAAACCTCAGGAAGACACGCCAAAGGAGGAGTCCTCTGCCAAATCAAAAGGCAAAGGCCTGTTCAGGTAGGAACAGAATGTTATTTAATTAATTAAAAAGTAGATTAATTGATCAAAAAAAGAAACGTGTAAGACGGTTTCAGAAATGAACCAGATCCTGGGGCAAAAATTCCACAGAAAGTGTCAAAAAATGTCTGCGATATTTACAACATCCTTAAAGGGATAATCCACGCAAAAATGAAAATTAGTCCATGATTTACTCACCCTCAAGTCGTCCTAGGTGTATATGGCATTCTTCTTTCAGACGAATACAGTCGGAGTTATATTAAAAAAATGCCCTGGCTCTTCCAAGCTTTAAAATGGCAGTGAATGGTTGTTTCTGTTTTGAAGTCCATAAAAGTGCATCCATCCATGATAAAAGTGCTCCATCCATGATAAAAGTGCATCCATCCATGATAAAAGTGCTCCATCCATGATAAAAGTGCTCCATCCATGATAAAAGTGCTCCATCCATGATAAAAGTGCATCCATCCATGATAAAAGTGCTCCATCCATGATAAAAGTGCTCCATCCATGATAAAAGTGCTCCATCCATGATAAAAGTGCATCCATCCATGATAAAAGTGCTCCACAAGGCTCTGCTGGGGTTAAAATAAAGGCCTTCTGAGGCGAAGCGATGCGTTTGTGTAAGAAAAATATCCATATTTAAAACTTTATTAAGTAAAATAACTTTTTTAACGTTTAATGTTAAGAACAGACGCATTGCTTCGCTTCAGAAGGCCTTTATTAAGAGCTGTGTGGAGCACTTTTATTATGGATGGAGCACTTTTACCATTATAAGGCTTGGATATTTTTGAACAGAACTCCGATTGTATTTGACTGAAAGAAGAATGTCATATACACCTAGGGTGACTTGAGGGTGAGACAGGCTAGAAATCACGAGATTGATTTCATTTTATTATAATACATTTTATTATAATTTATGTATTAATTTTTATTTTATTCTTTTTTGAGAATTTATTGTCATATGCATGTTACACAAAAGAAAAGCTTACTTTGCATCAATTAAAAGAAACCTGCCCTATATAATTACAAATTTTATTACAAAAAGTCAAATATAAATATATAAATCAGATGCAGCATGAATGATAATGATGTGTCATTGATTACACTGTCTATATATACATGCCCTTGTTCAAGATTTGTACTGTATTAGTACAAGAGTATCCTTGTGTAGTATGCATAAGTCCTTCACTCTCCATAAAAACTATATTTAGCCTGAGGACACCGCCTAGAATAAAAACTATCCCTTGGTTAAGTTGTTTTAACAGTAATGTAGACCATACAATTATCAATTCTTCAGTAGTTGGAGGAGGAGCACCAGTGACTTTCTCTGCACTTCTTATAAGTCTTTGCAATGATTTTTGGTCCTGTAATGCTGTTTCCATACGACACAGACAAGCTTGTTAACTTGCTTTCAATAGGACACTTATAGAAGTTCGTAAGGATAATTGAACTTCTATTGCTGTTGTGCCTTCTTGACCATTTGAGTGCTATTAAATGTCCATTAGTAATGGTAAAATAACAAAAACAAATCTAAATCTAAAAAGTTTTTAGACACATTCTTTGGTATATACAAAATGTTCAAGAAAAGTTTGTGCTTGTGTTGTATCCTTCTAATTTCTCTTTGCCATTCATCATCATCAAAACTTAATTAAGGACACACATGGACCAATCACACACAGTAACAGACAATAAAAAAAAAATAAAAAAAATAAAAAAAAAACACAATATCACATGTTTACATATAGGCTAAAACGCCAATGGTTCCACATACCAGAGGAGAACCTGACTGAACTTAGGGTCGGGTTTGTCAATGTTGAAATTATGCTGTTTGCAGAGTCTAACAACCTACACATACATCTGTACATGAGATTGCGCAGAACAGCAGAACAGGTGGGCACGCCAACACTGACAAACAATTGACTTGCACTACTCCATCGCGGCACCCCAAGCAACAGCCTCATTCCGTCATTATATGCTACATTGAGTTTCTGCATGCTGCTCTTTCTGTAGCGCCGCCACAAATGGGCAGTATACATCGGGGTGCAATATGCTCTAAAAAAAGTGCAATCTTTACAGATCCAGAGCACATACAAAATTTGCGAATCAACGTATTCGCCTGTGCATATATCATACGACACTGTCTATAAATATCCCTATCATCAGACAGGTCCTCAGTTATATACCAACCATACAACCAGTTCCACAGCTGTTTAGCAATTTTGATAACTCATCCATATAAACATTAAAAAAATGTCGCCAGCTTACTTTTTTTATGTCAGTATTTTCTGGAAAACCAAAGGATTTAAAAACATCTGAATTAATACTTCTTAAATTAAAACTATTACATACGTCTAACAGTCAGATGATATTTGAATAATTTATTTTGGCTGTAGTATACAATGACAAATTAAAACATTTTCATTTAAAAAAAAACATGATATCACATGATATTTTACTCGCATAGTTTGCATCAAGTTTGCAAACCCATGGTCTGACATTTTATTTCATATACTATATTCAAAATATTCTATTCTATTCTGTTTAAGGTTTAGACTCAGAATTGATTGTATTAATAATTCATTCATTCATTCAGTGAAAGTATTTGGATGACTGTGCCCCTCGATATGGCTTCATGAAGGTAAAACATGCCCAGAATGAAAAGGGATTTTTCTCATTTGTACTATTTCTTGTTCTGTTTAAATAGCAAAAAGGAAAAAAAGCCCAAAACGAAGAAAGAGCCGGTGAAAACAGTTGGATTTTTTCAGCTGGTAAGAATGTGCATCTCTTTACATAATTCATTTGTAGGTAAGCAGTGATGTAACATGCGATGATTAGCAGAAGTCATGCGTTTGACTCACATGTTTGTTGTTGGCTTGCAGTTTCGGTATGCCACCTGTCCGGAGGTTCTGCTAATGCTGATCGGCCTGCTGTGTGCAGCTGCACATGGCGTTGCATTGCCTCTCATGTGCGTGGTGTTCGGAGAAATGACTGACAGCTTTGTGATGAGTGGGCAGCAATTTAATATGACAGGTATTTAATAGTACAACACGCATAGTTTTTGAAAGATGAGGAAACATCCATCTGAACAAATGACATAAGTCCTTCTCAAATATCTGAAAGTCTGTCAGTCTGGACTGATTTGAATTGCTAATGTAAACTTTACCCTTAGTATTACAGTTCAGCAATCATTTCATAAATATTTACTTGAATGAGGTTGTCTGGAACTACTGGTTTCTGCTAAATGTTTCTGCTAAATGTTTGCAGGCAACTACACTGGAAACATCGCCTCTAACTTAACGTGTTTGGCAGGTTCCCCTGAAATAGGCATTGAAGATAAAATGACAAAGTGAGGAGCCATCTGGTATCAGATTCATTGTCATTTAGTTGACTCGTGAATAATTTACTGAAATTTCTTAACCTCTAAGTTTTGATTCACTTCTTCTTTGTTGATCTTTAACTTAAGCCGGTGGTTTGTTTACACAGACATGCTTATTACTTTGTTGGGATCGGGGCTGCGGTTCTGCTCCTGGGAACGTTCCAGGTAATGCTTTTCCTGCTAACTGCTGCAAAGCAAACCAAGAGGATCCGGGAGAAGTACTTTCATGCCATCCTCCACCAGCAGATGTCATGGTTCGACACGCATCCTATCGGAGAGCTGAACATTAGACTTACAGAGTAAGTGAAGTGCAACCATGTTCTAGCCTCTTGTTTCTGTCACCTCACCTGATATGTCCTTGGGTTACATTTCAGGTGTTTAATCTAAAAATGTATGGATCTCCTTTTTTCCCTCCCAACGCAGTGATATAAACACAATCAACGATGGCCTTGGGGACAAGATCTGCGTGTTTGTCCAGTTCTTCTGCACATTTCTTGCTGGTTTCATCATTGGTTTTATCTACGGTTGGAAGCTGACGCTGGTCATTCTTTCCGTCAGTCCCCTCTTAGCAGGATCGGCTGCTGTTTGGTCTAAAGTATGTATAAAGCTCCTTGTTTTTTTTAGATCAAATGGTTTCATAAACCTATACATAATGTTAATTATACCCTACACAATATATTGAATATTACAAACCTAATATTTTATGATATATATACCTATAGCCTGTGTGCGTGCGTGCGATAATAATTTGGTTTGGCTTCAGGACACCACTAACATACTTATTATGAATTATTATTATTATTATTATTATTATTAGTTAGTACACAAAAATGATGGTTCGGTACAGCTGGTGGGGAGAAAACTAAACATAAAATGGCCTTTTCTCCTTTTTTAAAACAGTGGTTTACTGAAAAAATTGTGTCTCTGTCTTTAAATACATTCAATTATAATTAAACATTTCTTAAGGATCAACGAAATCTATCTCTGCAAATGCTGTAAACTAGGGAGCCCTTGCACATTAGACTAAAGGTTACAATTAACAACAGAGCCCAAACTATTGAATTCAGTTGCTGTTTATTTTTAGATATAATGATCAACGCTCAAATAACAAATTGTATGCAAACATGTAAATTGCACATAAAGCAATTTTTGCATAAACTTCTCAATCAAATTATAAAATTATGTTTCTACTCCAATTCTTTGATGAAATACGTAATCATTTATTTTTCAGAGTGGCTGTCATAACTTGTTTTCATGACATACTTAATTAAACGGCCTACATTAAATAAGACAATAGATAATGAATATTTAGGCTACTGTCACTTTCCATTATCGGTGCGCACCACAATTAACCGAATGATTACGTGGTCAAAATTCCTGTCTTTTTACACTATTGTAAATAGTTACAAAATTTACACGAGTCACAACGCATTGCATTATGCACCTGACCTGCCGGCTGATGACACACTGCACTTGGATGAATAAATCTATTAGCTTTATTTAATAATATTACCAGTTCCATATTATCTTTATTAAAAAAAATAAGACAATAAATAATTTTATTTTTTTAATTTGACTGAATTCTTGTCAATTTCTAAATGTTTACTTTTTGATTTATGAATAATAACAGACTGATGGGGGGGATTATGTTGCTGTTACTTTTTAGTTTTTATATGTTTTATTATCATTTAACAATTTCTTGCTTTTTGTTAGTTTTTATTAGTTGTAAACATTTAACTTTTAAAATAAAGGTTTTACAACAACATCACCATCTTCTGTAATGTCATCAAACATCAATATTTTTTCAGGGGGCCCGAGTCCTCTAGCTACGGCCCTGGGCCTACATTAAATAAGACAATAGATAATGAATAATTAGGGTAAAATAATGCATAGCTTTATTATGAGAAATTCTCCTCTCCAGTTCGTTTCTGTGTGTGGACACTGAATGACTCACCTGACCTGTAATGCTACTTGGCATATTGTTTAGAAGCTGTTTTGTTGATGTCTTTCCGCGTCTGAAACACTGATTGAGCGATTACCTGAGATATGATCAGTAAGGTATAGCCTACTGTATCTTTCAACATACTTTCACATGTTCATTCATGTCTATTTTGATCGCGTTCACTCGCGCTCCGTTCTGCCACTTGAACTGAGGCGCCTATAGCGATCTGTCGCGCGCCACATCAAAGAGCGACAAAACAGCATTTATTGTTTGAATTTCGTGATCAAATTGACAGAATTTGAAAGATGATACTTTTTTTCTTATCGAAAGTAACAAAACACGGAGAGTATTGCTAGTATTGGTGGTTAATGGTTTGGTTAAAAGGCTAACAATGTATTGATCGTGTGCACCAAGAAGTAGGCCTATACCGGAAATTCGCGGTGCGAACATATTGTGTGTAGGCTATAATATTTTTTTTCAATAATTCATATTTTATAAATGTAATTATTTGATTTGGCTTCAGTACAAATACACATGTAGGCCTATATTGGTAACTCTATCAAGTTAAAGGGATAGTTCACCCAAAAATGAAAAGTTGTTGCCAGGGCGCAACATAATATCTTATTTTTCTGTCATATCTTACTGAATCTGTTTTCCTACAGATTCTTGCCACCTTGACCGGTAAGGAGCTTTCAGCGTATGCTAAAGCAGGAGCTGTAGCTGAAGAGATTCTGGTCGCTATCAGGACTGTTGTGGCATTTAATGGACAGAAGAAAGCAGTGGAAAAGTGAGCACATTCTGTACCTTTCACTCATCAAATGTGAGAGATAAGATTGGGTCTTCTAAATGTGAAGAATGCGACCAAACTGTTTTGTGTGTGTGCATACAGAGTGACAGTTTAGCTGTGACAAACTATTTTCTGTCTTTTAGGTATGATAAAAACTTGGTGGACGCAAAGGACTTTGGGGTAAAGAAAGCTATAACCACTAATGTGGCCATGGGGTTTACACAGTTTGTTATATTTGGCACCTATGCACTGGCATTTTGGTATGGAACAAAACTGTCTGTGGACGAACCAGATAATTACACCATCGGAAGAGTCATCACTGTAAGTTTTTCAAGACTTTATCTGTTTCTGAATAAAGATACAGCAGGAGACATTTCTTAATAACCACTAACTTTGTTACTTTTGTCCTCAGGTTTTCTTCTCTGTGATGATTGGCTCATTCTCTTTAGGTCAGGGAGCTCCAAACTTGGAGAGCATCGCCAAGGCCCGGGGTGCGGCTTATGAGGTCTACAAAACGATTGACATGGTACAAACTTTCAGTCTGTGTTCGTTCTTCATAATAAAGTTATTTTTTATTATATGTATGCCCATATTGTTATTCTGGATGACTGTTGCAGCCTCGTCCCATTGACAGCAGTTCAAAAGAAGGTCACAAACCAGACCATGTGAAAGGAGATATTGAATTCAAGAACATCAACTTCAGCTATCCCTCCAGAAAAGATGTGAAGGTACAGCAACATATTTTCCCAGCTGTTAGGAATTGCATCATTCATACTGTACATATTATGTCTGTTGAAATTATCAGGGATGCAATGAGATTATCATTTTTTTAAATGATTATTTTTGGATTGATTTGAATTAGTAATTTTATAAATATGTTATGGCTGATAACCAATATATAGATTTATTAAAATTAGATACTATTTTTGTCTACATAAAAATAAAATGTTAAAACTCAAAATTCATCATTTAAATAATAAAAGATAAGTATGAAGTGGATATTCAGCTTGAGATTTGCTAAAGATTACTTTTAAAGTGTTAATAAATTACTTCTTTTAATAATTTTGGTAACATTTTAGTTTAGGGTCCAATTCTCACAATTAACTATTTGCTTATTAGCATGTATATTACTAGGATATTGGCTGTTTATTAGTACTTTATTAGTACTTTATTAGCACATATTAATGCCTTATTCTGCATGACCATATTCTACATCCCATAGTCCTATCCAATACCTAAACTTAACAACTACCAAATTATTAATAAGCAGTAATTAAGAGTTTATTGAGGAAAAAAGTCATACTTAATAGTTACTTAATAGTAAGATTTGGACCATAAACTAAAGTGTGGCCATCCTTTTTTCTATCGACCAATACTGATGTATTTATGTCTGTAAAATTGGCTTATTATCGATATGGTGATGATATATTGTCCAGCCGTAGAAATGGTGACATACTGATGATGACTGATACAATGTGTCCCATCGCAGATTCTACAGGGAATGAATCTGAAAGTGACTCATGGAAAGACCATTGCTTTGGTTGGAGCCAGTGGCTGTGGGAAAAGCACAACAATTCAGCTTCTGCAGCGGTTCTATGACCCGGATTCAGGAGAGGTAACACTGATGTGCCCAAAGAATCTTCTAATGAGCAACCATAAATCATTTCACCTCTCAGTAAAAGCTGCATTCCTTCAATACTTCACATCATACAAAATATGTTGTCATTCAGTTTACTGCCGATCTTTCAGGAATGAAGAACTGAGTAGTTTATGAAATGTGTACGGTTGTGCAGGTGACTCTGGATGGTCATAATATCCGTTCTCTAAATGTGTGCTGGCTGAGGGAGAACATGGGTATCGTGAGTCAGGAGCCTATTCTTTTCGGAACCACCATCGCAGAGAATATACGCTACGGCAGAGAAGACGCCACCGATGGGGATATTGAACGAGCCATTAGAGAGGCCAATGCCTACGATTTCATTTCCAAACTACCAGACGTGAGTAGTGTCAAATTTTATTTTATTAAAAAGGTTTTGACTCGGTTCTACCCCTAAAGTTATTGTATATTGCAGAACCAAAGATTTAATTATGATATCAATAAATTACAGTGTCTAAGAGATGGAAATGCACAATACATCAGCACCATATGTGTTAATATAAAAAAATGTATATGGATATTGTGCATACACATTTCCCCCATTTTTACAGTTAGATCATCTAATGCTCCCTTAAAGTTTATCTTAAAAAAAAAAGAAAAGAATAACACAATGATATATAATGTACAAATGTACATTTGTCATAAGGTGGGATGCCTACATTTAGTGCTTACTTTTTTCATTTAGACAAAATAGACTTTTAATATCGGCCATTTATCAGTTCTTGGCCATAACATGAAATGAATTATCTGCTTCCCTCAGGTGAACGTGATTTCACCAAGTAGAACATGTTCCTGGATCAACATCTTTGTTGACCCTGGAACAACATTCCAAACAACCAATCAGATTTGAGGGACAGGTTTACAGTTTATGTGAAGTTTAAACTTACAATCAGCATTAGGTGCTTCTACATCAGTGTTATTCACTAGTCATTTCCCTCTGGTTTTAGGGATAACTTATGGGTAGGGTTAGGTTTAGAGGTAGAGATATGGTTAGGACTAAATTTTCGGACAGGAATGTTGTTCCAGGACCAGACCAAAAAAATGTGTTTATGTCTTACTTGGCAAAATCACGGTGACCGCTTAGGAATTAGGCCAGAATTTTAAATTGGTGGATCTCTATTTAGAAATAAGCATTTTATGTGTACTACACTTTGCTGTGTTTAGTCTGAAAAGGGGTTAAATGTTTAAAAAAAAATGTTTTTCTCTGAGATAGAAGCTAAATACTATGGTTGGCGAGAGGGGGGCTCAACTGAGCGGGGGCCAAAAGCAGAGGATCGCTATTGCTCGAGCTCTCGTCAAAAACCCCAAAATCCTCCTGCTGGACGAAGCCACATCAGCCCTGGACACACAGAGCGAGTCCATCGTTCAGGCAGCTTTAGACAAGGTAATGCAAAACAGTTCTTTCTGTGACATGCAGGAAGGACATTTGCATGAGTACTGGAAAATATATAGTTAAAGTTGCAGCTTGCGAATACGAATATCTTTTATTACAGTTTTTGGTATGGTAACAAAGTTTGGTAACACTTTATTTTACAGTGTCCATGTTACATATGTCAGATGGTGATAACAGTATATTACGCATAATTACATGCAACTAACCCTAAACCAAATCCTAATCCTACCATAACTCTATAGTAAGTACATGTAGTTAATTAATATTACTCAGCACTTAAATGCATAATTACACTGTAACAATGTCACTTTGTGTAACCCAAAGTTTTAACCAAGAAAACAAGCGATTCAATAATTGTGTGTGTTGTTTCTTAGGCCAGAGCAGGACGCACTACCATTGTGATTGCACACCGCCTGTCAACTATTCGTTCAGCAGATATAATTGCAGGATTCAGTGAGGGCAAAGTGGTGGAACAGGGCAGCCACAGAGAACTCATGGCCAAAAAAGGAGTGTACTATTCTCTCGTGATGCAACAGGTACATGTGTTTCTCTACACGGGAACTATCTGATAGTTGGACAGGACAGAACTGACTTTATGAATTTCCCTGCAGTTGTTGCCTAAATCTGTTTTTTCAAACTCAATACTTTTAGCAATATTCTTACTCTTTTATTTTGCTTGCTAAACTAGAAACCATGAAATTAATCACCTTTATTGTATTTTATTGACAGCCCGTATTTTTAACAGTAATGCCAGTAAGAAATAATACACTTTTTTAAATTATTTATTATTACTTGAAAGGTTTATACATCTTATATTATTCTTATAGTTAGTAGAAAAAAAAATGTCAACAAATATTAATTATAGGCTATATTTATATAATAATTATATGTAATTATAATATAAAATGATATAAGATGTAACTACCTTTCAGAAGTTTGAGGTCAGTAATGTTTTTTTAAAGTCTCTTCTGCTCACCAAGGCTGCATGTTTGATATAAAAGACAGTCAAAACAGGAATATCATGAAGTATTATGGCAGTTAAAAAAAAAAGGTTTTCTATTTTAATATACAGTATGTCAACATTAATTTATCCCTGTGATGGCAAAGCTGAATTTCCAGCGGCCATTTGCCTTTTTTTCAGGATTCTCTGATGAATAGAAAGTTGAAAAACAGCAATGATTTGAAATAGAAATCTTTGGTAACATTATGAATGTCTTTCACTTTTGATCAATTTAATGCAGCCTTTCTAAATACAAATTTTACTTTCTTTAAAAAACATTTTTACAGATCCCAAACTTTTAAATAATATTATGTGTGTGTTTATTGTTTGTAGTGCCATGACAATATAAGTGTGTGTGTGTGTGTGTGTGTTGTTTGCAGTGCCATGACAGTATAAAAGTGTGTGTGTGTTGTTTGCAGTGCCATGACAATATAAAAGAAGATTATAATGGAAACAATATTACCATTAGAATATCGCACTTAATATGTAGCCTATGCTACACAGTACACACAAGTCTTTATATGTAAAAAATTAGAGAATAATTCTCCCTGAAAACTCTCTGAATCCTTTAAGGAAGGTCTCTCACAAGAGAGCATCATATTTGGGTTTCTTTGGCATAACGTTTTTTTCCCTATTCGTTTACATTAACAGACCTCAGACAGACCAAGTGAAGATCTTGATGCCAATGAGGATGATATTCAGGATGTTTCTGAGGGAGACACCAGTGAGGAATTTTCTGACACAGAGACTCCCGAAGGAGGAGAGGAAATGATAATGGAGAGTGGAACCCTTAGAAGAAGCTTAAGACGTGGCAGTGAGAGAAGGTCCTCGAGAAAGAAGAAGAGCAAGAAATCCAAAAAAGACAAAAAGGCACATACTCCACAATCTCCACTGCTTTGATGCTATTGAGAGTTCATAAATGGAGTAATTGGATGATGTTAAAAATTCTCTTGTAGGAAAAGGAAAAAGTTCCAGAAATTCCTTTCTCTAAAATTCTGGCTCTGAACAAGCCGGAATGGCCTTACCTGCTGGTGGGCATTCTGGCCAGCATTGTGGGTGGAGCTGTTTACCCCTGTGTGGCCATTCTGTTTGCCAAAATTATTGGTGTGAGTGTCCTTTGTCTTTATTCATACATCTGAATAAAAATCTCTATTGTGTATATTTTTGCTTCCTGCTCATCTCCCCATGATTGTTTTAAAATAATTGATATAAAAATTGTGGATTGTACATTATATTAGTCCCATAAGCACATAGCATGTACAATGATTTAACCAGTATGTTCAATTCTAATAGAACCTCGTCTGTTTTTAGGTGTTTGCAGAGGTCGACCCTGACGTAAAGCGACAGAAGACCATGATGTTCTCGCTCTTCTTTCTGCTAACTGGAGTAGTGGCCTTTATCACTTATTTCTTCCAGGTGAGAGTTTGTTTGGTTATTAGTGGCGTTCACTAGCATTTCAATTGCTTTATACTTTGGGTTAGTGGTTAGCTTAGTACTAAACTTAGGCATCCTTCATATTAGTATTAACCAACCAGAATACCTAACAACCACCTAACCATGACAAAGGCAACTTTTGCACAGGCACAACATTTAAATAGTGTGGATATGGATTCAGCAAGAAAATAAGTCTCTTATGCTCATCAAGGCTGCATTTTTTCGATCTAAAATAGTTAAACAGTGTACACACACACACACACACACACAGAGAGAGAGAGAGAGAGTCTGTGACAGAAAGCAGTCTTTGATAATGTCTAAATATACATGCAAATGTAGTGTAGAATAAAAGCAAATTATTGTACTTTAAAATACTGTTCTCAAAATGATACTGTTTAATAAATGCACATATACTTGTATGCATTGCTGTATGTATGCACTGCTGTAAGTTTCACATCTGTTGCTCTTTCCTCTTCTAGGGCTTCATGTTTGGTAAATCTGGGGAGCTTCTAACCATGAGGTTGAGAAGGCAGGCTTTCAACGCCATGATAAGACAGGTATGACACATTTCATGCATCCATCACTCATTATTATATAGTATTAATGCAGTTGAGAGCTAATCTGGCACGAACAAATGGTTATTGAAATGATGGGTGCTTCATCCTCAAGCCTGTTTCTCTTAACAGGAGATTGCCTGGTTTGATGACAACAACAATGCAGTGGGAGTCCTGACCACTAAATTAGCCACAGATGCGTCTCTGGTTAAAGGGGTGAGTGGAACACAGTGATTTGCCATCAGAACCAGTAATTAAGCTTTCACTGGATGCAGCCTGTGTTTTTGGCTCTGGTTCATTACATCCATCTCTTTAAACCGTTATAGGCCTGGCTGAATCTGTTTCTCAGTCGTATTTATGTGAGAGCTAATCCATTTGACTACAGCTTCTGGTATTAATAGTGCAACTTTATTTGAAATCACAGGTACACTGCCATTCTAAAGTCTAGGATTCTGTAATATATAGGCTATATATATATATATATATATATATATATATATATATACCTTCTTTTTTTTAAAGTCTTACCAAGGCTACATTTATTTGATCAAAAACACAGTAAAAACAGTTATGTTTAAATATAATTTATTCCTGTGATGGCAAAGCTGAATTTTCAGCATCATTACTCCAGTCTTCAGTGTCACATGATCCTTAATAAATTATTATAATATGTTGATTTGGTGCTCAAGAAACATTTCTTTGGTTACTCTTTATTTAACTGGTCCACTTTAGACATTCTACAAACTATATAAGTAACTTACTGTAAGAGTAAGAATGACAGTTAGTTGACATGTAGTTGCTTATAAGTTGCTTATAACTAAAGTATTAGTAGGTTAGGTTTCGGCTTAGTGGAATAAGTTGAGTAGCTGCAAAGTTACTTATAGTCAGTAGAATGTCTAAAGTGGACCATTGGAATAAAGTGTTGCCATTTCTTCTTCTTATAAATGTTGAAAACAGATGTGCTGCTTTATATTTTTGTGGAAGCCAGATTATTTAATGAATAGAAAGAACATATGCTGTACAATAAGATCCGATGTCCAAACAGCTTGTTTGTATCTCCCTTTTTCTCATTTCTAGGCAGCAGGATCCAGATTAGGACTAGCCACAAACACTCTCTGTGCTCTTGGCATCGCCATCATTGTGGCGTTTATCCATAGCTGGCAGCTCACCTTGCTTATCCTTGCCTGTGTCCCCTTCCTCACTGGGGCAAATTTCATCCAGATGAGAGCCATGGCAGGACACACCACCAAAGACCAGAGTGCACTGGAGATGTCTGGCAAGGTACGGTACTCTGGTCATTGACCCTTTTTTTGGTTTTGTTTGAGAACAGTGTGATTCAGTTTATTCTGTAAATGATCACGTAAGATTAATTGGTTGCTGATGGTATCATTTCCAACTCTTCTGCTCAGATATCCACAGAAACTGTTGAGAACTTCAAGACGGTCGTCGCATTAACCCGTGAAGAAGTCTTCTTCCGAAAGTTTATTGACAGCCTGCAGGAGCCATATCGGTAAAATCATTTTTAAGACTAAAATACTAAAACCCTTTAATACAGGCACCACAAGGAGGTGCTAGAGGGCCCATGGAGAATTTTAGGCAAAAGATAAAAGATATAATGTTTTACAAGCAGTGTTGTTTTACCCTAGTTTTATTAATATTTATAATTAATATTATTAATTGTACTTTTTAATAAATTTTTATTAAAAAGTACATTGAAAAGTACAGTGTAAATTTTTATTTTAAAAGTTTTTATTAAAAAGTACAGTGTAAATTTTTTTTTAATTTTTAATAAATTTAGTTTTAGTTAATGATAATAACTGTGATAATAGGGTAAACTAAAAACTTTTATATATATATTTGTGTGAAAAGATACAAATGTATATTTAATAAATATTTACTTAATTTTACAAATATTTTTATATTTAATAAATATAAATATATGTAATAGTTTGCTTTGACTTCAGTAAAGTATATCTGATTATTTAATTTTGAAAGTCTTAATATGTAACTCCTGCATTATAAATTAATCTTTGTACATGAAAATATATAAATACAAACACACACACACACACACACATACACACACATATATATATATATATATATATATATATATATATATATATATATATATTTAACAGGGTAGTAAAAATGACAAAAGCACAACAAAATTACTGAAACATAAATACGAAAAATGGAAAACTGAAAATATAAAAATTTAAGCTGAAAATATGAAGATGAAAGCTAATTCAATAATTGTAAATAAATAATACTAAAATAATACTGCTCACAAGAGTATCATTATTATATTTGTGGGTCATAGGCAAAAACATTTTTTTTTAAATCTCTAAAATTACAAATGGCTAATGTTATGTGATGGCAAAACTTTGAAAATCCCTGCCTTAACACACGCTCAGTTAACATCAAATCTGATGTTCAGCCAAATCTTACAAAAGGTAATATGTGATATTTCAGATCTAGCTTGTGTAAAGCACCCATCTACGGAGTCACATTTGCCATCGCACAAGCCATTCCTTACCTGGTCAACGCTGCAATCTTCCGCTTTGGAGCCTGGCTTATTGCACGCTGTTACACAGAATATGAAAATGTTTTCCTGTAAGTACAGTTTGTATGAAGGATTTATCAATGTTCTTTTGAAAATCTCATTCACACTCTATACCATGTTGATGTGTTGGTTCCTCTCCAGGGTATTTTCTGTGATTGTCTTTGCTGCAATGAACATAGGCCAGTCCTCATCATTCGCTCCTGACTTTGCCAAAGCCAAAGCAGCAGCTGGGCGGATCTTACTGCTGCTAGACAAGAAACCAGCCATTGATATCTATGATGAGTCTGGAGACCGACCAGTAAGTGGGAAATTATAGAGTTTGTAGCATGAAGCTCTCAGAAGAAATTCAATGAAATTAAGTTACAATTTAAAAAAATTAAATAATATTCTTTGTCCCTTTAAAAAAAAAAAAATTCTTTGTCCCTTTTTCAGACAAATTTTTCAGGGCATGTCGAATTCCGAGAGGTGCAATTCTCCTATCCAACCCGTCAGAATGTGAAAGTCCTACAGGGCCTGAATGTATCAGTGTTTCAGGGACAGACTCTGGCCCTGGTGGGCAGCAGTGGCTGTGGCAAGAGCACCACCATTCAGCTTCTAGAACGTTTCTACGACCCTGCGGCAGGCCAAGTGGTGAGTTCACCGGGGGGGGGGGGGGGGGGGGATGGAGGGGGGGGTGCCTAGAGGTCTAAACCATTATTTTGGCTTATGTGATCAATTTATGCCTGATTGTTTTTGCTTGTTGCACAGTTTGTAGATGGGAATGACACCAAAAATTTGAACCTGGCATGGCTGCGCAGTCAGATGGGGCTGGTGTCTCAGGAGCCCATCCTGTTTGACTGCACCATTGCTGAGAACATTCAGTATGGAGACAACAGCCGTGACATCACCCAGGAGGAGGTCGAGGAAGCTGCCAAGAAAGCCAACATACATAATTTTATCCTTGGCCTTCCAGAGGTATGTATAATGTCTTCATTAGTGTGTGTGTGTGTGTGTGTGTGTGTGTGTGTGTGTGTGTGTGTGTGTGTGTGTGTGTGTGTGTGTGTGTGTGTGTGTGTGTGTGTGTGTGTGTGTGTGTGTGTACATTAAGCTTTACAAACAAGTACACTACAATTTATTTGATCAAAATACATTAAAAACAGTCATATTTAGAAATGTTTTTACCTTTTAAAAGAACTGTTTTATATTTGAATACATTTTAAAATGCAATTTATTCCTGTGATGGTAAAGCTGAATTTTCAGCAACATTACTCGAGTCTTCAGTGTCACACGATCCTTCATAAATCTGGACTTTTTTTTATCTCAGGATTGTTTGGTGAATAGAATGTTCAAAAGAATATCATTTATTTATGATATTATTATTATTAGAACATTATAAATGTCTTTACTGTCACTTTTGATGTATTTAATGCATTCTTTCTGAACAAAAGTATTCATTTCTTTTTTTTTAAATGAACGGTACTTTATATTGGTAACACTTTACAATGAAAAATACTTCTAAAGCAATTATTTATTTTCAATATTTCAACATTTACTAATATATTATTAAAAATCAAAGTTTGCATTTGTTAATAATGTTTAATGGACCTAAACTTACATGAACTAATAATGAACAGTTGTATTTTTTTTATTAAACAAAGATTAATAAATTCTATAACAACTGTGTGTTAGTTAATTTTAGTTGAAGCAATGCTAGTTAATTTTAGTTAACTAAAGTTAAATATTGGGACCTTATTGTAAAGTGTTACTATTATATTATGCTCAAAGCCATCAATAAAAACTGTTTTCATCATCTATGTAATATCCCTTCAGAAATACAACACTCGAGTTGGAGATAAAGGCGCTCAGCTGTCTGGAGGACAGAAGCAGAGGATAGCCATTGCTCGAGCTCTGGTCCGCAAGCCCAAAGTTCTGCTGCTGGACGAGGCCACATCAGCCCTCGACACAGAGAGCGAGAAGGTTTGTAACGTGTAAAGGCTGTCGCAAAAATATTTAAGAGTATGCCATCGTCAAGTTCATTTGATTTGGTCAAAACTGTTCCCTTTTTGACTCTGTTGGGACAATATGAACTTCTGTCTTCAACCAGCAGATGGCACTTTTGCTAGTTTGAACTTGTGATTCTGTTGCTTTTAGGGAATGGCTTGAAAATCCGATTTACACTACACACCTGCGTTTTATTGTCTTATCACATTTAGAAAAGGAAACAAAAGATGATCAAACCTATGAATCAAGTCAAGAGATTTCATTCATAAAGTGCTGCTTTAAATATGCATTTACTATTATGTGCTCTTCATAGTATATTTATGTGAAACTTTTAAATGTTGACCTGCTTTCTTTCCTGCTATACAGATCGTGCAGAAGGCTCTTGATGACGCTCGGCTTGGCCGCACATGTATCGTCATTGCCCACCGCTTGACCACTATTCAGAACGCTGACATCATTGTGGTGGTTCAGAATGGCAAGGTGATTGAGCAGGGAACACATGCCCAACTCATGACCAAACAAGGGGCTTACCATGCTCTGGTGAATGCTCAAGTATCTGCTCACTAACTTCAACTCCCTTTGATTTAATCTAGTGTTTGTATAATCTAAAATGAAAGGCACAGATACATAATTAAATGGTGCAGTTAATCTTACATTTAAATTTAAATGACAGTTTATGTCACAAAATGCTTCTGTTTTAGGATGTTGCCTGAGTTCATTTTAAGAAGCTTACTATCAATATCTGCACAATGTTATTTGAAAATCAGCATTTAAATATTTAAACTCTGACATGTGGCCAGACATTAATAGGAGAAACAAAACAAAAAATCTGTTTTTTTGTTGTTGCTTGCTTTTTGTTACTTTGATACAGCTCATTGAAAAGATACAATTCTTATATAAAACGAGAAAGATGTTGTATATCTATAGATTTATTTTTCTCAATTTTTATATACAAATATTGTATGTTATTTGTATTGTAAATGTTAAAAGTCGTGTAAATTTATTGTACATAAAACAATGCACAGTAAAACTCCCTTGACACCTTTTCCCCAACAGGCAATTGCAACACTTTTACCTAATGTTTTGCAGGATGTATGAGTTTGTACAGTAGACATAAACCCTTTGAATGTGAATATTGGTTTTCTGCGCATTGCACAATTGTTTTGTTTATGACCTCATCAGCGCGTGGGGGCGCTCGTGCTCGTGGTTTGAGCCTCCAACATGTTGGACCTTTTTCCCCCACACCGGCTAACTTTATTGTCTCTCGGACAGAAACGGCTACTTTATTCTTGTATTGTGTCTGATATGTACTGTTTATTGTTAAGATGATTTTTTCGATGTTTTAATAAAAGGAATTATCAATAATCTGCTGTCGTTCCTTCCTCTGAATTTTTTTAATAAAATTATTTATTTAAAGTAAAACTATCTTCAATGTAAACTCTTGTCTGGGTCAGCCTATTTTTATTTTTATTTATTTTTTTACATTTTTCTTTGTACATTTTCATTTGTTCATACACAATTATGCGCTGATAATAGACTAGTTTATTTTCGAAAGACACTTGGAAAAACACAAAAATCCTAGTGAATGGCTAGCCTACTAAATAACGCAATCATTTCTGTTATTTGGTTCTGAGATTTTTTTTTTTTAAAAAAACTCTATAAGTAGTAGGCTATATAAGTTTATATCTTCCGTGAAGTAGGTTAGCTTATAAAACAACATACACTGTAAAAAGTGATCAGTTGACTTAACTTAAAAAATTGAGGAAACCCGTTGCTTTAAAACTATTTAGTAAATTAACGTCATGAATGCTAAATCAAAACAAAAAAAAGTAATGTGGAATTGTCAAGTTCACATAGCCTACCTTAATTTTTTCAATTCACTATTAAATGTATTTAGCCTACTTAATTTTAAGGCAACGGGTTTACTCAATTTTTTTTAAGTAGCCTAAGTGTATAATTTTACATGCCACAGACTTTAAGATTAAATTATATCAGAAACACAGGTTTACGTTTATTATTATATTCTGAAGGAATGTGTAAGTTACACTTAAAAGATGTGCTTTGTAGAGCAAATAGTAAACGTCAATTTACTAAAGTTGCTTCATTTCGTGGGTTTCACAACAACTGCAGGTTTTAACTTTTTAACACAATTTTATTTATTTTTTCAATTGGTAATGAAATGGCGTAACAGGTCCTGCACTTGATCACAGATTCAGAAGTTGGACATTGCAGTAATAATATCAACGGCAAATCGTTCACTGTGGCTGAATCCATGTTGACTTTATTGAGTGGCTTAAATTAGAAAGCCAATTTCTCAAATAAATGATGTGAAATAAACGCTCACCTTACATGTGCATGCTTACATAAATTAGAAAACGTGATTAAACACTGAATTCTGAATTGAAAATCTTACAAATCATTTCAAAAGTGCGTCTAAGACAGACCTCGAAAAAAAATCAAGTCCAACTCGTGGATAAATATGACGTTTTTCTTCACAAAAAACACTCCCGTATACAGTTTTGGATATTTACTAGAGTCAATATATATGCAACTAAAAAATACTATTCAAAATTTGCGTCTTGAACAAACACATACCCAACTTTTACACCAGTGTGGAATAACCTTCTAGTCTATTCTTTTTTATTTTCAATATGTACAGTTTTTTTGCAGCAACAGGAAATAAGTACAATTCATACAACTTAGGATTTGTAGTCTGTAGTTTCGACAAAGACCAATGTGCGATATATAGACTATTTTCCCCCCGAATATTTAAAAAAATGAATTTGTAAATGACAGAACGAAGTCTATTCAACACTACGGCAATTTATCCTTACGAAATTGGATTTTAGTAGTGTTCATGAATAAAGTGCCACAGTTTGGTTTTGAGAAAGAAAAAAGTTGGCAATGACAGGCCACTTCACTGATGGGTAAAATACTCTTTTTTTGTTTGTTTTCTGTTTCATAACAACAGTAAGTAAAATAAGACTATTCGACAAAACCCTCATCAGAATGAACATATCAGATTATGTCCTTTTTAATATTCACCATTTTTCCAAATTCATGTCGCGTAGTATCTGTGCAGACCAAAACAGGCTTACTTCATTGTAAATTACATTTTAATCGTAAATTAAATCACTTTACAACATCCAAGTGAAATGGCCACACGGTTATTTCTCACCAGGTGACACTTTATAATAACTTTTACTGTTAACCTTAATAGAAGCTATTACGCTTAACATAAAATGAGTTAATGTACATTCAACTAGCTAAAAAGGAATGAAACTTTGGTTTATATTGTTTCATACATGATATTGATAATTGAATGTGCATTATCTATCGAGTTTTACCACGTTCGTTAACAACTTGAATTGTTGGAAGTTTTTATAAAGTGTTACCGACCGAACAGCACAACCTTTTGTGAACCGTCAAATAAGTTTAGTCCATTCGAGAAATTGTGTCACGTGCATTTTGAATGGGATTAATCGATGGAGTTCGCTCGGCCGTTCATGCCCGTGGTCGGGACAGACTCGGAAGGTTGCAACAGGTCAGGTGAGTGGCACGAGGGGCTACCGGGCACACTGTGCTCGCTGTCGGTGTCACTCCCTCGTTTCCCTCCACTCGCCCCAGACCCCGACCCTGACGAGCCTCCGGCACTGTGCGTTTTGACATGTTTACTGAGGTGGTCGCTCCGCATGAACCTCTTGTTACACACGGGACAAGCGAAGCGCTTCTCTCCGGTGTGCGTGCGTAAATGTCGCTGGAGCTCGTCGGAGCGCGTGAACCTCTTCCCACAGAACAACCAGTTACACACAAACGGCCTTTCTCCGGTGTGCCACCTCAAATGAGCCTTGAGGTGCGACGTTTTGCCGTACACTTTCCCACAACCGGGAATGTGACAGCTGTGTAACCCCTTTCTGCGGAGGCTCGCGCCAGCTGGACCCAGCCGTTCCGCCTCTTGACAGTTCGGGCAGTCGCACGTCGCTCTGCCCGAGTAGCGCCGCGCTGAGGACCGCGGAGATCCCGCCAGCGAGGCTGTTGGACCCCCTGTCAACATTGAGCCTCCCGCTCCACCCAGGGGAGAGGGACTGGAGTCCGGGTACGAGGAGAGCACGGGTTTGAATCCGTCCATGAGATGCTGACCGGTGGTCAGGAGATGCGGGGACGCACTGGTACTAAAGGCAGAGTGGCTTAAACTCGAGTAGTCTGAGTTGTATCCGCCCAGAGGAGAGTGTAAAGAAGTCTGCAGCCCACCGGAGTGAAGGGACGTCTGGAGCGCGGCCCCGTTCGGGTTCTGCACGTCAATCCAGCCGGCTCCCACGTCCCACCACGCGGATGCGCCCGTGGTGCCCACATCCCCCGTGGGTATGCCAGGGTGCGAGGACTTGAACCACGACTCGTAGGGATGCGCCACGCTCATTCTCGGGTAAATGCTTTGCAAACTGTCCACGGACGTGTGCACCTTGGAAATAAACATGGGCTGGTGGCTGGGATCTTGAGAGTTGTTGGAAACAGAAGCCTGGAAAACGGAGTAGTCGTTTCCGAAGTGGGAGTTGGGTGAAGTACCAGAAGTTAAGGAAAAGGCACTGGATCCCGTGGAAGAGTTCGTGCCAAAAGAGTCGCTTAAACCACCACCATTCCGAGTGAACGAGGATAAACTGGATCCTAAACTACAGCTGCTGGCTGCCGCTCGTTTCCACGGGTGGAATCCTTTTCCGAACGAAGAGGGGTTATCCGAAATAGAGGAAGGAGAAGGGCTCGGGCTCCCGATTTTGTTACACGTCGCAGCCAACATGGCTAAAGGAGTCGACCCCAATCTCGGCTCCTCCTGGAACAAAATGAATTAGAAGGTAAGCAAAGATGGTATATTTGGGAACTTATAGTTATCCAACAACCTTAGCATACGTGAATGGTGCTATAGGAAAGAAACGTCTAGCTACTGAAATAAAACCAGTCGCAAGTATAAAACAAAAGCGAAACACAGCATATAAATACCAATGAATGTTATACATACAATGTCGTAGTTGAGAAATGGAACTCCTGCTCGTTTCTCTCGCTTAAAACATAATCAAGTGACTCTCTCCCTGGCTGACCCAAGAAATTTTAATCCCCACGGCAGGACAATAAAGGAAACTAATTAAACCAGCACGAAACTCCTTAGACTCACCCCTAGAAGTGAAGTTGCCATCACAAAAGTGCCCTCCTCAGAGGATCTTTTTATATTTATGAATCAGAGCACTGTTTTTTTAGAGGTGTGCAATACAATGATGTGGTCCGCCCATTCCAGCACAATTGTAGCTCCTCTCACGGCTTTGAAGTGCCGCTGTGACACGGGCGACCAATCAGGAAGAGCCGTACCTTCACGCGGCCACATTCTAGCGTGAGGTCATCGATAGAGCACTTCAGACAAGATCTCCACCCCTTCCAACACCCCCCTCATAATAAAACTGAAGTTAAATGAGAAGAACTGGAAGTTTTGGGGGAAACTTTTTCTATTCTTTTGTAAAGAGGTTAATAAGTTTACTGCCCCTGATCTGTTTTGAATTATTATTATTGTGTAATGTCTGCTACAATTTGCTAATGGTAAAAGAGCAACTGTCATATCACTCTTATACAAGTCGTTGTCATTGTCTTACAGGTTGTTTTGTAGATTCACTGTAAAAATGATATGATCAATAAGTTATTACAACATATGTTTTTGCATTGCTTTAACTCATCAAAATAAGTTAAACAATTTTCAACTTGTTTTATAAGTTATACAAGATTCGACTCATTTTAATGCAATTTAAGTTAAAATGACAAACATCAAAGTTGATTGTACTTAAAAAGGCAGCAAAAAGATTTATTTTTTTTACAGTGTTCTCAA